CTGTTTTAAACATTGGAAGCTAATATTTTGTGTTTACTGTTTACCAAGCACCATGATAAATGCATGATATCATTTAAGCCTTCTGACACTGTGAGAAGGAGCCTATTGTCTTGCTGTTACAGGTGATGAAAATGAGGCTTAGAAAGGTTAAATATGCTGCCTCTGGTCACATAGCTAAGCAGGGGCTGATATTTGAGCTCAGTTGTGTCTGATGCCCAAGCCAATTTTTTCTACTCTTCCATTCTGCTGTGGAGCTTTGCCCTCAGATTTCCTGGTTCCCAGACCCCAGTGGTTTCTGCACCTTGCCTGTTAATACTTGCCAGGAGCACCTGTTGCTCAAGAACCTGCTTGGACAAGTCTTCTGGCTCGACCTCGACTCGCTCCTTTGGATGAATTTTTGGTGTTAGCCCTGCGGCCCCACGCACCAGGGTAAGAGAGACTCACTTCCTGCCCTGGCCCGAGGGACCGACTGGCTGGGCCTGCCTTCTGCCCAGCTCACTGGTCATGGAAGAAAGTTTGGACACACTCTCCTCTTTCCCCATGAAGAAAGTATGCAGAGCCCAGTGTTCCTGTCCCTGGAGATTCCAATGACTAAGGCGGCCCCGAGGCTGAATTAGGGTCTCCATGCATATGTTGACTAGAAAGCTCTGTTCTGTTGATCAGCTCCCCCTTTCTCTGTCAAGTCTCTGGCACCCGACAGCTCTCAGACATGGGGTGGTGTCATTGCTATAAGGAGGAACCAATGTGCCTTCAGTACAGAATTTTAATTGGTTTGGCCTATATAAAAAAGAGAGCATCATAAATGTACTTAAAACTTGTTTTGCTGGAAATTTCTAAGAAAGCAGGAAATATTTCTATGGTTTCATTAACCTGTCTAAAGTAATGTCTATTTGACCCTCCAAAGTGTAAAATACCTGCCACGGTGGAGTTTGGATCACTTGTCCTCTGTCCACCAGAATTCTCCAGCCTCCAGAGCTTCTGCAGCCATAAGTACTGTGACAGTGGAGACCAAGATCAGGACCATGAGGTGTTCCGCAAGACTTCCAAGTGCAGTGTAGCCCTTGGGAACGATAAGCAATACTCAGTCTAGCATTGTTAGCCTATAATCAGTTTTTTAGTTTACTGTGTTTCCTTCTTTTCTTCCCCAAGATTACCTAGAAGGGTAAATGTTTAAAAAGGAGATCAGTGGTAGCCATGGTGGCATGTACCTGTAGTCCCAGCTACTCAGGAGGCTGAGGGAGGAAGATTGTTTGAACCCATGAATTTGGAGCCAGCCAAGGCAAGATAGTGAAACCCTGCCCTTTTACAGAAAAATGGTGATTGTTTAATAAGCTGATTTGATTTCATAATTTCTATTAAAGGAAGGTGCCGTAAATCTTTAGTAAATTGGAGTTAGTAAGAGCGTTTGGGAAAGAAAGAAATATACCTGCTGAGCTGTCTGACCTGCATAATGTAAAATGAGGGCTTAGAGGAAAAAAGGTTGAGGTCTCTCCTTGCTCTAACTCCTGCGGTTTTCTTAAGTAGCTAGAACTGTGTAATTTTAGAGATATAATACATATAGACGTTGGCAATACTCTTATTTGCCTAATTAGTTGTTAAGATCAAGTATCTATGGAAACAACTTCCCTGTAGTATTCAAGATAGGAGATTTATTCTTTTTACTTTGCACGATGAATACAGTGGTGGATGCAGTGCTCCCTGTATGGTGACTGCTTACAAGAATTGCAATAAAAGCTGAGGTTTTGTGGCTGTGAGAGAAGCAGAATGTGTACTTGTTCCTCTCAGCTCCCTTGAGCTGTCTTCAAAGTTCATGGTGAACACCCACAAAAACCTTATACTTTCTCTTTTCAGCTTGTCATTCCATGTTTCAATGTTAAAAGTAATTCCTCACCAGTAGTTTTATGAGTTCAAAGACACAATTTTGGGGGGTAAACCTTGTCCTATATGATTTTTGTCTTTACCTTTAGATTTTAACACAATCATTTTCCATTTTTGTAATGTTCCTGCTACTATGAAAATTCTCAGATGCAAGTGGTGGATTCTCTCCAATATGAATGTGTGTTCCTTACTCCTAGTAGAAGACAGTTTCTGGAACATGGTTAGGTTCCCTGGAAGATTTAGGATATTTTTGTTTGTTTGTTCGTTTGTTTTAGTTTACAGAACAAGTTTGATAGCTTGCACAAAGAGTAAACAAAGCTTTATTTTATTTTTGGTGATTGATTCAAAAGATGGAAAAATCTCTGGCTTTTTTTTCCTTTTGTTGTTTGTTTTCCTTAATGTTGCCAAAATTGTAATCTGGTATTTCAACATTTCTTAACTGAGGAAAGTGACATTCCAGTTTTTTTCCATTTAACCCTGTATTTTTTCTCCCACTTAACTCTTTGCATGTCCTGTTTGCTTTTTATCCTTTTACTTTTTATTCCAAATAAACATTTGAGTCTTCAATTTTGCTTTGCAATGTGAGGATCTAGGGTTATCTTGGTGACCGAGGCAGGTAAATTTTCTGCCCTAGAAGGGCTCACTGTGTAGGTGGGAAGCAGACATATTACCAGATGGTCATAGCATGATTCAGAGTGCACAGAGCAGGTGAAATCTCCACAAAGGGACACATAACTCAGACACAGAGGTCAGAGAAAGCCTCACAGAAGAAGTGACAGCAGAACAAGATCTGAAAGAAGCAGACCTGAAAACCGCAGGATCAGAGAGGGGAAGAGCATCTGAAGTAGAAGGAATGGGGCATGCAGAGATATGATGTACCTGAAAGTCCTTGCAGAAAGAAAACTAAAAACTGGTTTTATTTCCACTCCAAAAATCAGATTTCAAAGAAAATCTTGGTAATATCTTGCCTTCAGTATAGCTTTACCAGCTCAGAACCAGGCGAGTGTAAGTTCTAGCTATGTTTACAAACATAAGATGTCTTTCTTCCCTGGAGGAGTATGTTGGACATTGTGTGAAGTTTGCCAAGAGATTTTGTTCACTAACATCCCTCTGGTGTTTGTGGCTGCTACCTACGCAAAGAATCACTGATGGAAATAATGTAGACTCCAGCTTTTCTCTGAAAAAGGCTGCTTTTGACACAGAGCAGGGACACTGTGAGCCGAGGCATGCAGGGAAGACAAATGCAGAATGTTTATTTGCGGAAGCAGCAGCAGCTCAAGCCTGGCCCATGTCCTGGGTTTCTTTGGAACCCTTTAGAAGTCAAAACTGGTTTCAGACCTTTGAACATTTGGTGACCCACATTTCACTACAAATCCCATGGACTCTGATGCTCAGTGACCACCCACACAGGCAGTGGGTGAATCTGATTGCGGAGTCTTGGGGCATCAGTGGCTCGTGTTTAACAATGGTGGTCAGCTATGGTTCTGTCTTCCTGTGTAGGGGATAATGTCCACCAGAGAGCATGTTCCTCCATGATTACGTGGGTTTTGGTGATCACTCTTCTCTTCAAAACTATTTTGTAGGAAAATAAGAAACACTATGATCATTCATCATAGTGTAATTGTTGCTGATGTATCATCAGGAAAACCCTACAGGCCATGGGTTTATTAACCCTGGAACAGAGTGGCAGCTATACTTGGAAGCTTATCAGAAAAGTGAATTTTTGGCCTCACCATAGACCCACTAAATCAGAGAGTGGGTAGGGGCCACCAATTTATGTTTTTATAGTCCTCAGGAGAGTCTGATGCCATGCAGAAGTCTGAGAACGCTGAGTAAATGAGACAGGTTACAGGAAACAGTAAATCCTGTAGCTCATCTAAGTTGGCTGCAGTTTCTATCACTTGCTCTCCACTCAGGAAAGTGTCCTGGAGTGCCAGTGAGTGACAGTGATGTTGTTACTGGGACAGGGGAATTTACCAAAGTTTATTAAAATGTGAACTTTGGTATTTTATTTTTTATTTATTAATAGTATATAGCAAAAGTCACAATGAGGATACCACAATTAAGTTCTGCAGTATTAGTGTAGCCAAAGTAATGGCTTTGCTTTTTTATTTATTTATTTTAACAGTGTCCTACAGTAAGAAACATATGAACTGTCATCCAGAAGACAAACATAGTGTCTATAACCAGGTCAAATGTTCATGAAATAAGATCTTTACTATGATCGCTTGCACACTGTTTTATTAGGAGAATACTGATCACCTTCCATTTAGTTGATTTCACGGCCCATGAATGGATTGTGACCTGCATTTGGCAGGGAGGCAATGGGCCATGTTTACAAGGACTCTACCCCCTATCTTTGGAGCAAGAAGGGTGTAAAGCCAGCATTACTCTTGTGTCTGGTGGCCTTGGGTTTCAGTTTGTTCTGCCACTCTTAGCAGGGTGGCTTTGTGTCATTTACATATGATCTCTGAGCTTTGCATTTCTTATCTTTTTGTGAATGATAATATCTACCCCCTGGGGTTGTGTGGAAAAGCAGTGACAGTACACCTCACACGGTGCCTGGCAGTGGTACTACTGACTACTGTACTTGTGGACAGCTCTGTTAGCAGTATTTTTCAGAACATCATCTGCTAAATAAATTTTGTGATAACCACCACAAAGCACTGCTTCACAATTTTTTTCCTATATTGCAGTGAATAAGAAACCCTGTAGTCCAGGCATTTAGAGATACTTTTGAATAGTAATTTTATATTTAAAATGCATCCAAATTAGACAATCTTTTCCAAACTAGAGTCAAGTCTATTTTGATATAAAATATGTCTCGCCCAAATCCTTGAGGGTACTTGAGATTGGAGAAGATGCCTTAAGTGGCTTACCGCTTACCCACATTGACCTGAGTGACCATTTGGGAAACACAGACCTTGTGACTGTATTTCTGTGGGAAGACTTTTCTTAAACAGTCCTCTCTTTTGGTGACTAGGGACAGTGTCTCCAAGCACTCTGGAAACTGACAGATGACCCAGAGAGCTTGGCCATTAGCCTATAGAAAAGTCAGGCACTGTTCACCCATTATCCAGATGATGGCGAAATCCAGCTAATGTCCACTTGTCTTTCTGGAGGTCATGATTGTGGTTGGCGGCCAGGCGCCCAAGGCAATCCGCAGCGTGGAGTGCTATGATTTTGAGGAGGACCGGTGGGACCAGATTGCTGAGCTTCCCTCCAGGAGATGCAGAGCAGGTGAGCAGTACCGTCCAGGCTCTGAAGCTGCCTTTCCCTGCCCGGTCTCTACTCCATGTGGGAAGTCTCACACGGCTCCTCTGTCCTCAGACATCTGTATGTTTCTGAGTCCCCTCCCTTCCCTACCTGCACAGTCTTTGGCTGCCCCTTCTGAGGTCACTTCTTATGGGGTTGGAAGTTCAAACTTATTCATGTAATTGCTTGAATTAATCAAAATTAGAAAAGCAACTAGGAAAAGAAATCCAGTGAGTCCCATAGTGACTTCCAGATATATAAATTTGGAGGTTATCTTTGCAGTGAGTTACTTGTGTGCCTGCCTGACTTTCCTGTTGGTGTCTATCAGGATAGGTGATCACCCACCTGACCTGACCTTGGGGCCTTGGTTTCCTGTGCCTCAGGTGTGGTGTTCATGGCCGGCCACGTGTATGCTGTGGGCGGGTTTAATGGCTCGCTGCGGGTGAGGACAGTGGATGTGTATGATGGTGTGAAGGACCAGTGGACATCCATTGCCAGCATGCAGGAGCGCCGGAGCACGCTGGGCGCAGCGGTGCTCAATGACCTGCTCTACGCGGTGGGCGGCTTTGACGGCAGCACCGGTAGGTCTGGGATGTGTTCCTGCCCCTCCCAGTCTGCACTGCACTCTCTACACAGCCTTGTGTTGCCCAGCCAGTTTTTTGTTAATCCCTGTCCATGTGTAGCCCAGGAACATAACCATCACTGGTTTCAGTCATCATAATGAAGAAGTGGACATAGTTAACTTGCAAAGAGAAAAGGTGAATTTTGGCTCACCGTTTGGAAGCTGTAGTCCATGACTGATTAGCTTCCTTGCTGTGGACCAGTTTCAAGGCTGCACATGGTGGTTAGAGTGCAGGACAGAGCAAACCTGCTCACTGCATAAGGAAGAAGGCAAAAGGGAAGAGTCTGGGATCCCACCATCCCCTTCAAGGACCCCACAATGACTTAAGGACTTTCCCAAAGCCCCTTCTCCTTCAGGTTCCATCATCACCCAGTAGCACCACCCAGGGGATCAACTTTATCACATGGTCTGTATGGCATTCAGATCCTTCTCTTTCCTTACCCAGCCTTTGTGATGCATAGCTGTGCAGTGCGTGGGCTCTGGGAAGGACCCCACACTGAGAAAAGGCCCTTTCCTGCTTTCCAGTGGCTGGCAACCTGTTTACTCAGAACAGGAGTCTCAGAACGACAGCATGCTTAGCTGGAGGGCACCTGAGGACTCTTGTCTGAGCCCTCTGCTAAATGGACAAGGAGTCTGAGGCTCAGCAGTAGGAAGAGGCCTGGCACAGGCCACACTAGAGACCAAACGGTCTGATTTGACATTATCTTTTCTGCTGCCTTGGGGCTTTGTGAGGCTCTTCCACAGTGGGGTCACCTTCTGGCTCTGTTAGTCTTCTCAGAATCCCAGTCTGAACTGTTAGTGTATGTGGACTCAAATGATCTCATCGCTACCCTTATATTGGGTACATATCTCTATAGATTCTAACTCTATTAAACTAAAATGTAACCTGGTATTCTTTTGCCCCAAGGTTGACAAAGACAATATTTTTTACTTCCCTGAATTTTCATTTGTGTCTTCATGATTTAATAATATTTCTCAGCCTTCTTTTTGCCTTGCTGAGTCCATGGTTTTTAGCTGTTGTAGAAGTTGTGTTTATTTAGCAGGCCTTGGGAATAAATAGAATAAAAAAGTAGTGTATTGTTTTGTTTAGAGCTTACTTTTGGCTGTAAGAAGGCAACCATGGCTATAAAAATGAGGGTTTTTATTTTAATAATGAATAAGAAAACTATACGCCAGCAGTTTTTGACCTGATCTAATTGCTTAAAGGATATGAGAGTTAAGTTCTTTAAGATTCTCTTGGTCTTTTCCTCATAATCACAGTATGCTTGTTATAACTCCAGCTAACATACTGGTATTCTAGGTAGCAAGAGATGGAAAAGTATGGCATCCATATGAGAAAAGCTATTTTATAAACTCCCATCGAATTTTGGCTTACATCTCATTGACTTGATTGCCCCTAATTGTAAGGAAATTATGGAAGGCAAGTTGTCAGCTTTCCAGATTCAAAGGTAGAGAAAGGCAAGGAAAAAACATGGCATAGGTGTTCACTAAAGCAAACTTAGGTGTGTACATGGAATCAGAATATTATTTTGTGAGTTTATTGATTTGCATTTGCAGTGCAGTTCAGGTACACCCTTTATCCACATATGACCCACCTTCCGAGTCGTCCTCATGGTGCTCTCAGGTAGACCCTGCAGGTGTGTTTCAGGAGTTGCTACAGGCACTGGAGCAGACAAAGGTAGCACTGCACCATGCATCTGAATTTTCATCCCTAAGTGCACACTGTTCCCCACCCCACTTACCTCACTGGGCAAGCTGGGTAAGGCCCCACAGAAATCTCATGAGTCTCTTATCTCTAGGCCTAGCGTCGGTGGAAGCCTACAGCTACAAGACCAACGAGTGGTTCTTTGTGGCCCCAATGAACACACGGAGGAGCAGTGTGGGTGTGGGCGTTGTGGAGGGTAAGGAGCAGCTCTGGGTGTTGGCGGCTCTCCAGCTGGGCGTGCAGGCTTGGATGGCTGGGTCCACCTTGGTCCTTGTTGCTTCCTGTCCTGTGGCTCCATTCTGCAGAGCATTGCTCTGTGTTAGGTGCTGTGGTCCTGATTTAACAGGGAGGGGAGCTCCTGGCCTAAGTCTATGATATGTGGGTTGGGGAGGGCAGGGGTTACCTAGAAGGGGAAGTACCAAGCTGCCACTTATCAGTACCTCTGCTAAAGGCAGAAACATGAGGACAGGAAGTTGGGGACCCAGAATCAGCATGAAATCTAGGAGTAGAGTAGTGGGGGTGAGTGTTTGTATTTAATTAATTTTGCCCTCACACTGATTCGTTAGACATTAGCATTGAATGAAGTGGGTGTTTCCTCCCAGGTCCCATGATCTTCTTTACAGGGTGGGCTTCTTGTTGAGTTTTACTCTGGTTAGGACAGGTATGTGGGGTGAGGCAGGGGAGAATGATGAGGTTTGGGATCTGATCAGACTATGCATCATAACCTACCTGTCTCTCATTTTCTTCCCAAAACTCTTCTAAAGAAGACAGATAGGACTCAAATTCTTCTTCAGATGAGGAAACTGAGTCCTGGAGAGTTTTTAATGATAGTAAATACTATGGCTCGTGATCAAGCCTAGGTCTTCTGAGTCCTGCCAGTGCTCTTTCACTGTCGTGCTTCTTCAGAAAGCTGGCAAATGCTCAGGGCAATAAGGGTTATAGCCATGTGTCAGTGCAGTGTACAATGCAGAGTGTTATTTGAATGAAAATAATCACATTCACAGGACAATGATGATTTGTTAGCCTGTCCTGATGATGGAGCTTAACTTGGATATCTGTTCATTTGCACAGGTGCACAGACATTCTCACTTTCACTTGCACACACAAGCACACATGCAAATGTGCCTTAGGCAAAGTGTAACATTGCATTGAGTTAGAAATGAAAGATTCTTCTCTCTCACTGTACTGGTTTTTACTGCAAGCTCTGTCGTTCTAACATGCCGGACAAGTCATCTTGTCTCAGCGAGTGGAGGGATTTTGTTCTTCTACCAAGATAAATTGTTTTTTGCAGCCTCATCCTCTTGGTGGCACAGAAATTGATTTGTCTGCCAAATGTAAGTGCTTCGTCTAGCCACCTTCTCATTTACCCCCTTGTTCCTTGGCCAGGAATATTAAACAATAGAGGAGGGGTTAAAAATAGCAAAATCTCTGCTAATAGAGTGGAGGTGAAATCTGGATTGGTTTTTTTTTTTTTTTTTTTTTTTTTAAGCCAATGCAGTTTTGGCATGGATAATGGAGGCTAGAGGAGATGCCTTAATGGTAGTGGCTTAAAGATTTTCCTGACGAAGACTTTTGTGAGTGTGTTCAGTGTGGAAGAAGGGCTGTCTTGTAGAATGCTTCATGAATATTGAGGACACGTGGGAATTTGTTTCTCTCACCCTCCTGAGTCTGAAGCCCTGTGGGCTGTGAGTCCCCTTGGGGTGGAAGAATCCATTGACAGCTTTGGTGGGAGTATGCATTAAGGAATCATAGGTAGAGCCATCCAGCTCTCTCTGCCAATCTGGTTTCCTCTCCCACCTCTCATCATCTCATTACTGTGACTCTGAAGTGGCAACGACACCAGAAGTCCATGGAGGAAATCAGGATAATTTGTTCCTGGTGGCCTGGAAGAATCGTTCCTCAGGGAAAAGGGCAGTGAGAATGAGAGTTCCAGCAGAAGCTGCCAGCAAAGCAAGAGTGTGTGTGCCTCACAGAGGGTTGTATTGAGCAACACACATGGGCACGTGGCCTAGACCCTGGAGAAAATGCTCAGCCTTGGTTTTGGTTTGACACTGGAGGGCAGAACAGCAGGGGAGAGATCTGTATCTTCCAGAAAGGTCACCCCAGAGGTCTCCTGGACAGAAAACAAAACCAGGCTCAGTTTGAATAGAAGACATAGTTTTACACTTGCAGTGTAAGTACCCCAGATGATAGAGCACCTTTTTAAAGTCTGAGTCTTTCTAACTTAACCGCACATTTTCACTTTCTAGTTGTGCTTTTGGAATTAGGAAAGCACATAATATCCACAAAAACTGTTGATTAAGTAATCCTGTTATGTGGATTTGCATTTGGTGGTGTACATTTAGCCTGAGGCTAGTGTACAGGATCCTTGATATAATTCGTATTCCCCTGTCGCACTGAGACCTCCAGGGTACAGTAGGGCTTCTACCCCTGCCTGCTATAGAAAGAACTATCCCATTATATTCTAAGATTAAATGTTGAACTCAAATGTTTATGCTCTCAAACACCTCAAATACAGTGCTGATTTTCCGCATCCTTGTTTGATCTCATTCCCTGCCCCATACTCCAAGTGGAAATGGTGCTCTTAGATAACGGCTTACTGTTGTTTTTTATTTTAAAATAGATGCTGACCCTTCAGGATAACTAGGTATCCTTCAGCAATCACAGGGTATGCTGAAGAAAAATACTAGACATTTCAGCCTCCTTGTACACAGACTGCCCCATTCACATTGGCCAGAGTTATGGGAAGAATGGGAAGCGATGCTTCAGATAGTATTTGGGTTCTTACTGAAGACATTTTTTTCATATTTATTCCACACTAATGAGCCTTTAGCCAGGAGGTTGGCTGCCTGCTTATAACTGACAGTCATCTAGATTTCTGTTTATCCAGTGCTAGTGCCTTGCTTCAGAGACATTTTGACCTGGTCCATCCCCGTACCAGGTCACAGCTTTGCAGAGGGTATTTGGGGCTCTTAGAAAGATTCAGGATTACTCTGATACAGCTCATGACTTACCATCAGGCAGAGGGCAGGGATGTGAAGGATGCTTCCTCAGTTTGGGGAATAGGTCCATGTTGCCCTGGAAAAGGTTGGGGGGGGGAGGCTTAGAACACTGACTGAGGTATAGAGGCCCCTGTACGTAAAAGATGATGCATCAGCCAAACTGCAGTTCTGCACAAATGTTCCCAGCACCACCCTCAGCCTTGTCGTCCTTTCAGGGAAGCTGTATGCCGTTGGGGGTTACGACGGGGCTTCCCGCCAGTGCCTGAGCACCGTGGAGCAGTACAACCCAGCGACCAACGAGTGGATCTATGTGGCCGACATGAGCACGCGCCGCAGCGGTGCAGGTATCGTGCGGGGAGGTTCCAGGGTGCAACGGCTGTCTGTCTGGCTTCCAGCTGTTCTTGAGCCCAACAGCTTGACGTTGCACCTTGTCTTAATGCCTTCATTTTTCCTTTTACTGTATGTAATCTCACAAGCATCTTAACAGCTGGACACAGCTCTTACTCATGAGCCTTTCCTGGCAGACCAGGACGGAAGGTCTCCTAGGACCTTTGCTAGAGAATGGAAGATCCAGGGTTTTCTTTATTGTCTTCCCTTCTGTTTCTGTTTTGACATCTCTTGAAAGTGAAGGCTTACTATGAGTCAGTTGCTGTCCTAATATATCATTTTATGTTTTCCTGTATTAAATCTTTACCATACCCCTCAAAGGTAGGCACAATATTAATTATACTTACCAGACATTGAAAGTAAGTCTTCCAGGGGCTGGACAATTTGCCTAATGTTATGGAATTAGTAGTTGGAAGAGTGAGGATTCTCTTTCCAAACTAGATTATTTTTGGAGATTTTTTTGAGACCAGGTCTCATTAGGTAGTTCAGGCTGGCCTTGAACTCACAGTGTAGCCCATACTCAAGGCTCAAGCTTGAAACTATATAACTCAACATCAAGGCAGTCATCCTGCCTCAGCTTCCCAAGTGCTGGAATTACAGGCATGTATTACCATGTCTGGCTCAAATTAGCCAGCTTTAAATCTTCAAATAATCAGTCTTGTTCATATGAGGTAATAGGACCAGCAGGGCTGTGTCCAGCTTGAGGTGATACAGGCCAACTTGCCCTTCTGAAGTTCATGTCCTTGGGGCTGAAGCCAGTCTGCTAGTGTTCATATTTAGAAATAAAGCTACGCTCCTCATTCCCGCTTCCTCACCTCAGCACCCTCCTCAACATGGAAAGAGAATGTTCTCCCGCTGGTTTTCCACTTCGGAATCTTGTGGGATGACTCAAGAGCTGCAGCAGTAGCACCCATTTCTCTTCCTTGTCTCCCCCTTATCCTGAAGGCCCACAGAAAGGGTCTGAGAGGAAGTTGCTATGCCATGTGGCTTCTGGGAAGGGAAGCCGCACCTGGGGGCATTCTAAGTGTTGTTGCTCAGTCTGTGTCACCATTTTGGATATTGACTTGTGATCACATTTTATAGTACCACACACACGATCACATTCTCAGAACTCCTTGATTACGTTGTATTAAAATTTTCCAGAAGTTTTGTGTGTCCACTGTTTACAAAAGAAAAATCTGTATGATTCCTTAAGAATCATTTCTGCTTGTGATAGGAATGGGTTGCTGCAAATGTTCCAAAGGGCCAGGTTCTACTCACAAACCCCATGATTCTATCCCTTTGTAAAATATCTAATGTTAGTAGAGTGTTTGTACATCCTAATGATTCCAGATTTTATCCTTTTTTTTTTCTCTTTCTTTTTATCGGTACCCAGGGATCGAACTCATGACCTGCCTGCTTACAAGGCAGGTGCTTATGTCGCTGAGCTAAATCCTCAGCCCCCTGATTCCAGATTTTAACTCAAGGCATGAGAATAAGTGCGCATGGTCTAGGCATATGGGAGCAGCTCGGTAGGACTGGGGTTGCATGGTGGAGCTCTGGCTGTTCCTCCCCAGTGGAAATGTGGTAAGGCTGCCCAGATGAGCCCAGGACTCCCCAGCTGCCTTTGAACATCCAGATGCACCTGTGCAGGTGGCACTGCCTTCGGACACCACAGTTGCTTTGTCTCTGCAACTTATTTAGATGTTGTTGCTGGATTGACATCACAACCTGGTTCCTGCCTCTCACTGAGGCTTGGGGGCCGGGGCAGAAGGGGGATTGGTTTGTGTAATCTTTGCTTCTCTGTCTCCTGGAGGTACATTGACCTTTACTTAGGCGGTGAGCTCTTTCTTCAGGCCCTGGCTTTGGGCTTCACAGTCTACAGAAATGCAGTGCTTTACTCTCCTAAAATATAAGGAAGTCTCACCTCTGGAGCTGGGAGCCTGCATAGTACTTGTGGTGGGTATTTTATTTTTAGTGACTGAATACCCAAGGACCGAAGACTCTGTCTCCTGTGAGTCCCTGTGGCTCTAGGTGCCAAGAACCTCTTCAGTTTTGTTTATGCATCAGGCTGCTGAGGGAAGCAGCAGAGTTGCTAGGATAGCAGTATCCCAGAGTGTCTGGATTTTTCAGCAGAATGTGGATGACATCCATTGGTGGGAAATGGCCATCTCAGGATTCTGAGGATGCCTGTTCCTCCCCAACCTGGGGGCCTGCAAGATGAGGCAGCTTTGGAATTCACTGCTTTAGTAAACTCATCCCCTTTCCCTGGTCATTGTTGATATGACAGCACCATCTGCTGTTAGCTTAGGGCAACTGCTAGGAACAAATGGTTTCTAGCATAATTGCTGGAAGGAATTTTTATATTTTGTCGTTCATAAAGTATCTGCTGAATGCCTACCACCTCCAAGCACAGGGAAATAGACAAGGATACAGACATAAAAGTTCTTGTCTGTGTGAAGTTTATATTCTGCAAATCCGATCCTTGGACCTAAAACTTGGCTGCCTGTCCCCGTATCCTAAGGAACTTTTTCAGTCAACTCGCCAGTGTCTGAAGCAAGGCCCTGAGCCCTGTGTTTTCAGAGAACTCATAGCTGACAGATGCAGCCTGTCATGGAAGAGATTAGTCCATGGGTGCCACTGATCCATTCCAACTTCCTCCCTGTATGAGTGAGGAAACTGAGGCTCCGAAAGGGAGAGAGCAGCCAGCCAGGCAGGACGACCTGTCCCAGCCAGCAGATCCCTCACTCTTTCTAGCTGCCACCATCCTTCTTTATGCCCTTTAGCTCCTCGTCTTGTCTCTAGATCACCTAACACTTGTAAGTGATGCCATTCCAGCACTTTGCTCAGGCTGATCAATACCGTAAATGATGTCATGAATGCCGTTTACTGCCCAGGTGGAGGGAAGTGGGCAGGAAGAAGAGCATCTGCCCGCAAGACCACCAGGGAGGGCTCTCTAATAATGAGCTCAGTGCTCCTGCAGTGTGGCTACTTCCAGTTTTAACTATTTAGCCTGAGTAATTCAGTATTGTGGGGAAGACAAGATAATATGATGGGCAAAAAGGAAAGCACGTGCAATTTTGCTGTCCAGAAACAACCACTTGTAATGTTTTGGTGTATTTCTTTCAGTCTTCCTTTTTCTGTCGCTTATCACACTCTCGCCTATACCTGTAAAATAAATATATATATTTATATATTTTATGTAACATGTGATATTTTATATGCACATATATATATGTTTTAAAGGTCTTACTTGCTTTATATTTCAACATTTGCACGTTGTCAATCTTAAGAGGCAGGCAGGGTATTACTGTGTTTGTTTTACATATGAGGACCCTGAAATCTAGGGAGACAGAGCTGCACTCCCCAAGCCACCCTGCTGGTAATGGCTTGTCTAGGACTGGATACCAGACCTTCCCGTCTCTATGCCAGCTTAAGGCTGGGAACCTGCGCTCTGCTTTCAGGGGTTGGAGTGCTCAGCGGACAGCTGTATGCCACCGGTGGGCATGACGGGCCCTTGGTGAGGAAGAGCGTGGAGGTTTACGACCCTGGAACAAACACTTGGAAGCAAGTGGCCGACATGAACATGTGCCGGCGCAATGCAGGTAGTATTCCTGCTCTCTCCTTCCTCCCTTTAGGGGTCAGCGGGCTTTTCTCCTGGAAGGTAGACAGTGGCTCTGAGTGAAAGGAAGAGAGGAGAACCTGTCAGGATCTGGAGCTGAGCTTGGCTTCTAAATAGGGAGCATCTGTTTACTGGGTAGGCTCTGGTTTAGGGAGAAGAGAGCATGAGACCCACAAAGCTTGCCACAAGATCCCCAAATAGGGGCAGCGGGGTGCATACAGTTGGGTGCAAACCCAGAAAAGCCATCTGGTTGCCACTGGTCTCTCTCTCTGCTGTGGCTTTGCAGGTAGCTAAGCACAGGGCTGCGTGGATACGGCCCAGACAATGACACTTGATTCTGTGTTTCCTTTGCCAGTGCCTGGCTAGGAGAACCTCTCACTTTCACCTGAATCCAGTTTCCTTCCTTGAAGGAGAGTCTGATCCATAATTGATTCTCCAGGGGAACCACTTCCTTTGTTGCCTTCTTTGTGCTTCCTGTCTCTCCTTCCCTTCCCTTCCCTTATTTCCCCTAATTCTTCCCTTGAAGTATGTTTATATTTCCCAGAGCCTGAAAGCCCTAATAAGTGATTCTATTTTTAGACTCTTTCCCCTTGGGTCACATCCCATGTTGTATATTTTTATGCCTCTTTGCTCTGGGAGACGTTGGCTCAGCCTTCCTTCCCAGAGTGGAATGCAAACAGGTGACTTTCAGGCAGTTTATTTCCTTTATTCTCCTATTTTCTGTTTGTTAAGCTCATTTGTGGCTGGTTTGTTGGAGGTATAAAAAGAGGAGAAATGTACTAATTTACTCATTGGAATACTGTTGTGTTATAACTTGCCAGTAGGCTTTAAACCATGTGAGTGAGGAATTACAGCCTGTCTACCTGGAGTATGAGAATTAAGTTTAGATGTAAATATGAGTACATGTACACATTCACATATAGGTATTTCTCTTAATAACAGGAATAATAACAGGAATGGAATCACACTGATGACTGGCTTAATAATCTGCTTTTTGAAACTTACTTCACCATCTTTCATCAACATCTTATTACAACACTAATGTACATGATATTTTAATGCCTGTGCATGATTTAAATACCCAGTATATCACTGGATGCTTGGGCTATTTTCAGTTTTTATTTCCTTTAACCTGTGCTTTGGCTATTATAAGTGGTTCTTTTTTTTTTTTAACCTAATCCTTTGTTTTTTTTGTTTTTTGTTTTTTTTTTTTTTTTTTTTTTTTTGGTCTTTTTCCTTTTTATCGGTACCAGGGATCGAACTCACGACTGCCTGCTTTCAAGGCAGGCGCTTATGCCGCTGAGCTAAACCCCCAGCCCCTATAAGTGGTTCTTACAAAAGAATTAGTACACACATTTAGTCAGTTCTTTAGAATAAATTGCCAGAAGTGGAATTTTGAGGTATAGAGAGCACCTGTGTTTTAGACTGCACCCAGAAGGTGGTCCCTCTCTCCAATATTTGAAAGTATCTAATTATTACTTTTTAGAATGCGACCAACCCCTTAATTTCATTTTGTAAAGACAGTTTATTGGATGGTGGCCTTTTAAAGTCTTGATGACTACATATCCCCACTCTTCAGTACCAGCTTCATGAGACCTTGCCCTCACACCAGCTCACTCTGAGATTAGGAAGGGAGGCAGTGTGTGAATTTTGATCTTTAATTTTCCGTAGGAATTGAAGACACAGGATAGATGCAAAATGGGGTTTGTCTGGGAAAAATTCTCAAGCAGAGAATTAGTAGTGTGCAGGAGCTGGCCTCAGTCATCTCATTCCTAACTCAGGCAGAGTATGGGTGTGTGTGCCCTGTCGGTGGCTTCTGGTAGAGTGGTAGAAGAGTGTGGACAGACTGCACCTGCGTGTGACTATGTATTATTGACAATTCCCTGGTGAGAGAAAAGGGGACTCTCAGGACCCAGAGGGTGTTGGCAGTGTGTTCCCCATGAAGCAAACTCAGCCTTGTGGAAGCGGATCATCTCCCCTGAGACCCTACAGGGAAGAAAGGAGCTCCCAGAGCTAGGTGGGTTCATTTCCCCTGAGTCCTGATGCCAGTGTTCCTGTGGCTTGTGTTCAACCCCCAGGGGTCTGTGCAGTGAATGGGCTCCTGTACGTGGTCGGAGGGGACGACGGATCCTGCAACCTGGCTTCGGTGGAGTACTACAACCCTGTTACTGACAAATGGACCCTGCTGCCAACCAACATGAGCACGGGGCGGAGCTACGCAGGTCAGTGTGTTGCAGCACTGCCCACTCTGGAGGCCACCATCCTAGGGGCGGTTTGGGGGAAGGGATGTGAGTTTGCTGGGCTTGGGACCCTAGGGCCACCCCTTCACTCTGTCCATGACAGATGCTAATAATTACCACTTCTTTCCCCTATGAATCTGCATGTAACATCCGAATTCTGTGTTCCAGGGAGTTTCCAACTGATCTGAACTGCTACTGAGATCCTAGAGTTTCACAGCCATTCTTATTTTTTTGTATGCCAGGTTCCTAGGCATGTAAAGAATGGTTCTTGTTCTTCAGAAGTTGGGTTGGAAAGAGCAGGGCGCATACAAGATAACACACACACAAGATGTAAGTGGAATGCACTGTACAGCTTTAGGACAGAAGAGATCAGTGAGAGAGAGGGAGCGAGAGACCTCTTCCTGTAGGAGATGGGCTCCATTGAGCTCTGAGAGTGGGTCACCATCACACATGCTCTTTGATGAGTGCCCTTCTCTGCGTTGTGGGACCATGTGTTTGGTGCAGTGTAGACATCAACTCTTGTCTTTTCAACAACCCTCAACTACATAGGTCTAGATCCTTCTATTTTACAGATAGTCCAACTGAGCTTTTGAGCATTTAATTTGCGAAGGACACAAGTAATAAATGGCAAAGGCAGAATTCCAATCTAGGTTTACCTTCTAAGCCATGTTCCTTGGAATGCCACAGCTCAGGGCTGTGGAAAGAGCCTGGGAGGTGTCATGGAAAACTGGTGTGAAGACGTTTTCTTAGTGTGCAGGGTTTGGTGAGGTAAGGAGCAGAGGCAGCCACAGAGCTGATGTTGCTGAGGTCACAGGTCCATAAAATGACTCGATAATGTTTATTCGTGATGTAGCCCAGCTCCTTACACCTGCAATAGAGCAGATATCTATTTATCAAGTTCACACAGTGTACCAGGCATTATCCTAAGTATTTAAAAATTATCTCATTTAATTCATACCTTGACTGCAGGAGTATCCTTTTTCCCATTTTGCATTAGAAAGGCCAGTCATCCCATCTCATTTGGATTTCAGGGCATAGGAGGTTTGTGTGGGGCAGGCTAAAAAAGTTTTATATCGTATTCTTTCAGCACAAGGCTCTCATTACAATGAACTTCTTTTGCTTTTTTCTTCCTTGAGGATTTTCTCCCAACTTGTCAAATTTCCCTTTGCTAAATATGAAACATTTTAGAAGCAATTTGGTCCCAGAGCTATCTTATTTATGGTTAATTACAAAAATCAGCATGGATACTTTCTTTTTGCAGCTGCAGAAGGAAGAGCAGGGCACTTTCTAGGATAAGACGGTGAGGTATAGGAGGGTATCTTGGCCGTGGTTCCACCTATGTCTCACTGAGAAGAGAGGGCTTTGGTATGACTCATTAGAATTTCATATATATGCTGAATATTTCATGTCCCTGTCTTCATTGTCTGTCTGCTCAAGAAGTAGGTGAGAAGCAAGTATGCAATTTTGTGTCTGTCTTAAAATCTAGGGATCTGCTCTGAAATACAAAGATACAAAGTTATTTATTGGAGTATTACTTATAATAACAAATAATTGAGAACTACATAATGTTTGACATTAGAGACATAGTTAATTTATGGAATGTCTTATAGTAGATGTGTTTTTAATGTAATGAAAAAATCTTAGTCATAGACTTTTAAGGTAAAAGAGGCTGAAAAATTGTATGTATTGTGTGTGCTCATTCCTGTGGTCCTGTATGGCACCAGTGAATAGTTGTAGCTTCTGGAAGTGGAGATGGGCATCAGATCTGAATTTGAATATAAGCTCTACCACTAGCCCTGGGTCTCTGAGCCAGGTATTCAGTGTGACTCAACCTCTGTTATCTCATTTATAAAAGGGGAATAAAAATTAGACTGATCCTCTGAGGGCTGTTGTGAGAATGAAATGTGGAAATGTGGGAACCATTTAGCACAAGGTCTTCATGGCACAAGACCCTCAGTAAAAGGCTGTGATGGCTAACAGAAGCTAGGAAATGCTCCGGGAAGACAGTGGTGGCTCTCTTTGCATGAAGGGGATTTAAGATTTTTTTCTCTGTGTTCTGAATTTTCCAAAATGAGAATATATTACTTTTGTAACCAGAAGAAAGCTTGTAATCAAAAAGCAAGCCTGGTTTTAAAAAGTGCTGCCTGGTGAAAGAGATGTCTGAGTACAGGTAAGATGTATCAAGGTCAAGCAGTACCTGTTGGCCTGGACTCAGGTTCTGCCTGCTGTAAGTGTCTAAGTCTGGACTATTCTCCAGGAATTTACTGGAAATGAAGGTCTTAGCAGAATTTCTCCAATGAGGTATCTTGGTTTTTTTCATTCAGCAATAGTGTCATATTCATTCTCTCTCTCTCTCTCTCTCTCTCTCTCTCTCTCTCCCTTCCTCCCTCCCTCCCTCCCTCTCTCCCTCCCTCCCTCCCTTCCTCCCTTTCCCCCCCTCCTCTAGTCCTCTAGTTCTCTCCTCTCCAGAGTTACTATGTAGTTCAGGCTGGTCGTGAATTCACTATGTAGCCTATGCTGGCTTTGAACTTGCAGCAGTCCTCCTGCCTCAGTCTCCCAAGGTCTGGGATTATAGTTGTGGGCCACCACACCCAGCCAGCAATGTTCTCTTAATCTCATCTTCAATGAGAATTTTTTTATAGCAATGGGAATTTGTTAAAATAAGGCTCCAATAACCGTCTTACCTGTAGGAATCTTCTGAGTTAGTATTTTGTTCAGCAGCTGGTACCAGAAAACCTCACCAATGGTTGTTTACATAAGGAAGGAGAAATATTTGTCTCAGACAAGAAAGTCCATGGCGGGCCTGGTGGCCCACATTGTCATTGAAGAACCAGAGTTTTCTCCTCTTCTATCATGTTTCCCAGTAGCTACTTACGCTGCTTGGGCCTTGCATGGACATCCTAGGCAGGACAGGGACACTGAACATTATAGGTCTGGCAGACTCACATTGACCAGGACTGGGCCTCATGGCACTTCTAGCTGCAAGGTAGTCTGGGAAGCTGAGTTGTAGCCATCTGGCATCTACTGTAGAGGACAAAAAATAGAAAGGATGTTGATTGACCACCTATAGTGTCTTCTACAGAGCCCTAATCTATTATAGCTTGATTTGGGGTCATACATGGATTCACAGAGTTAGGTGCTGAATATGGTTCCAGTTTACTGAAATGCACATGATTAGAGTGCTTATCCAAGTCAAGAATCTAGCACTGGAGTTCCTGCTGTCCAATGACATGAGATAGTGTGGGAGTTATGTCTAAAGAGGTGGGTAGGTTTACCTAAAGGGTATACTGTAGGTTGACTGGTAGCAAAGCTTGGACTAAGATTGTTTCTTGCTTTCATGAAGTCAGTCTACTATTCTTTCCATTTCATTCCACCGTTTTCTAAAAGCAGATATATACAGAAAAGTTGGAAATGACAGAAGCTGAAGTCTTAATTATTTTCAGTATAAATCTATGAATTTCTTTGAATGCTAACATCCTCAGGTCCAAAATTCCAGCATCATTTATTCTTTTAAAGTAAATTTTAAAGAACTTGACCCATTGTGTCAGTATCACAGTCAAAGTTGGCAAATGATGGATGAGTGAGTGATTCAAGCAGTGCACTGTGGAAGCTGAAATACATCTGTGGACGGAACTGAAGGCAAAAAATGTGCTGACCACACCCTGGAAGCTTTTTTAGGTCATTGTGAAATTTCAGCAGACCGGTTTTGCCAGTTTATCCAGCTGTTGTTCAAGAATAAAAATTGGGATTTTCAAGGGTCACTCTTCTATATTTTAAATGGATTTTCAGTAGAAATGATTTTTACAAATCAAGTTAATCCCACTCCTATTGAAAGGTATTCCTGGAAATGTCATAGACCTAGGTAACTTTGAATTGAATGAAAGCTCATGCCTTTTCCAAAGTTTCTTTGTGTGATATCTAAACAGGTGCAAGTAACTCCATCTCCACAATCTTAGAATTCGTATTAATTGTGTGCCTGCCCTTCATTTGAGCTGCCTCTTTAATTTATTGCATATCCTTTTCATTATCATATTTTGGTATTATTCAATCTTTATGATTTTTCTGTATTTATGGGGAAATAAGTGATACACAAAAGATAAAAGCAGCTATAAATCACTCATTTTTTTTCCTAAAGTGATACATATTTAGAGCAGTGTAGAACCTCTGGGTTTCCAGTAAGAATTCTGAGCACTGTTAAGCAGGATGCTAGGGTTTGAAGGAACAGACATCACAGCACTAGAAGATCTGTGTGACAGTGCCATCCTGGGGTATTTGAGGCACTCTGTTCATGGTTTCAGATGTCATGAGAAGACTTGAGTGGGAAACAGTCAGCTTCAGGCAACCCAAGATCATAGTCCTTCAATATTTGGCTAAAAATCATACCTGTTTCTCTTGGCTGTGATGTAGGGTGACTTAAGGAAACTCTCAATAGCTTTGGAGAAGCTATGGTGATAACTTTCTTTCCTCTCATGGTAGGTGTTGCTGTGATTCACAAGTCCTTGTGACCCAAATCCTCACTGGCAGGAGATGAAGGATGATGTGGGTACTACCTGTGACTTGGAGCAGCAGGATCCTAGCAACTGGATGCAGGTCACTACACGGGTCCATGGTGGTGTGAGAACCACTCTCCTCTGACTTGGCAGACTGGCATTGTCCCTTGCAGTATGGACACTGGTGACCCACCTCCTGCTTCCCTGAGGTGCTTTGTCTCAGCCCCGAACAGTGACTTTCCTGACAGCCCCAGCAGCACCTTTGGGTTTTTTCCCTTTTTTTTTTTTTTTTTTTTTTTTGGTATTTATGTAGGGATAACAGAGAATCTAGAACTCGCGTGCACATCTATGCAGTGCACATGTGTGTGTTTATGTATAAAATGGATGTTTTCACTCAGCTGTGGGTTGGGGAGGTATGGTAATCTACTGTATTTCTTTACTACTGATCCTTTCACTATGCTGAAAATCAAAGAACAGGAACCTTTCTTCTGGATTTGTCTCATGGGGACCCTGAGAAGATTAATGCTGCTGTCTCCTGGAGATCCAGTCGAACAGGTTGGAATATCCCAGAAGTTACCCACAAGAGGGCTGTTCGGTGATCATGCCCACAAACATGACCTGACTACTGTAACTCTGCTTGCAGAAGAACTAAAGCTTTCTTGAAGCTGCTCCCTGGCCTCCGTGTGCTGGACCAGGGAGAAGACAGGTTCCCATGGTCTTCATAGCTGCCCTTTCGGAGTTCTTCTCTAGGAAGCTTTTCTCTAGGATCCAGCCAGTCTTCTGCCTGGCTCTCTGACTTTTGATGTCATGGATTCCAGGTTTGGAAGGTTTTGTTTGTTGAGCAGGGGAAAAAAAAGTGAACTCTTCAGAGTAGCCCCAGGTAACACACTGGAGAAAAAAATGTACAAGAAGAAAACAAAAAAATCAAGGTAATGAGGGTTCAGTCCCTGCTTACAGTGATCTTAGGGAGGGAGACCACTAATGGGTTTTCCCATGATGTGACAGCCCCTATTTGTACTTATTTTCCAGGCCTAATTATTCTAGCACCCCATTTTACTTGCAAATTTCTGGCTTGGAGGATATGTAAAAGGTCACCCACCATCCCAGAGATAAGTTTGTCCATGGGGTCATGTGTGATTCATTTGGACACAGATGACTTCAAGGGACTATATTAGCTGAGGCTAGCCCTTGGCACTTTGTGATGAAGTCAGATGTGTCTTGCACCCTTATCATCCTCTTGTGCTTTCCCCCAATTTCAAAGTGTGTACCCCTCCCCAAACTGCAGACATCCCTTCCCTTTGCTTGCTCTGTTGGGGGGGAGATAACCGTGGGCCCTGGGTTTGACATCTCATTCAAGAATACTTGGATTTTAAAAGAGAAATTTGATAGATCATTACCAATGATAGAAAGTCAAGCAGCTGGATGGGAAATTTGAGGGAGCATTAGGTCATTTGCATTTTTAAAAAGACCCTTCAATGTGTACAATTCCTAAGCTAGCAAATTGCTTATGCTGGACTTTTCTGTCAGAGGAGGGGAATCTTGTGTGTCACATCTTGGAGTCTGGGGTTAACTCTCTGTGATGTCAAGGGCCTGCACTTTGTGAACCCTGATGTTAGACTTCTGATACACTTTTATGTGTTCTAGGCAGATTCTGCAGGAGATTGACATCCCTCTTTTCCCTACTTCTGCCCTGTAGAAACCTAGGAGACTACTGGGCTCCTTAGCTACTTGGCCACTTTGAGTATTTACTGTATATTACATACTGTTGCGTTCCTCTCCTGAGAATGGAACTTCCCTTCCTAAATTTAAGCACATGTTGTTTCAGCAAGACATTTGAAGAGCATTAAAGAACCTAGGAACTTGGTATCCTTGAGAAGAGGCCAAGATATTTAGCTTGAGTGCACCTAGAAGAAATGCCTTCAGAGGAATCAAGGCATGCTTGAATTAACTGCTCTGGTCTCACCTGGCTGCAAGGATGGCTGTGATTTCAGAGCTTCGCCTGGCTCTGAGTTGGAACTTTTTGTCCCCGATGTCCTTCCTCCATCTCCAAGGAAATTTTGAGGTTGGTTGGCAAGTGCATGTGATGAGGATGAGGTTGAGGAGTCTGGTGTGTGGATGACACACAAGATTTCCATTTTCGATACAAGGTTAATTCCTCATCCTCTTCCCCACGATGGAGAAACTAGGCTTTTCTGTTTAGGTGGGAAAGCTAGTTTCACGTGTCATTGTCCCAGAAAAGATCCCTCCCTTGGAAGCTTGCCAACCGTGTTTTCCATCTTGGAGTTTTTGCTATTGCGCCTACCTTGCATCTCTCTTCCAAAGAGGCCTCTCCTCTGCTGGTGGTGCTGCAGGGGCCATGTTCATTTCATCTTCATGCATCCTTTCTCATGGGGACTAGAATACTGGTATGTCATCACAGAAATGTCAATCTATTCTAGCTGTCCACAGATCCCATCCCAAAGTTACTGTTCCTTCATCCCCAGGTGCAGTTTTCTCTTCACGGTACCTACATCAGACTTTCAAGTCTATGCTGGTCACATGGTAGTGAGGCCTCCCTTCCCTGCCCCTATTAGGGTGGCCTCTCCTGCTTATGAATGCAGCTTTGCCAGTGGCGTATCTGAAATCTGATTGCAGCGGTGAAATGGAATTGAGGCCCAAGGTTAGAAGCAGCCTAGACGCCACTGGGATACTGATTTGGACAACATAGAAGTCGGCTTCTGAATCCAAAGTCATTTCTCATAAGTACCCAATGGCATGTCTCCATCTAAAAAATTGCAGTATTATGCAAATGAAGTGACCTCATTTTCTGCTATGCAATAAGAATCCTTAATTCTATTACATGACAAGCCAGTCACAATATCCCCTAAGATGCTTTTTGAGCTTTTTGATATTTGTTGTGTAATATTTGTATATTTCTGAGCCAGATCCTTTCAAAGATTGCCTTTTTATAAAACTGAAGCTCTAGCTTTCAGGCTAAAATTGTAGATATTTTTATAAGATAATTTTTTTCAAAATATATAAATTGCTTTTTATGTCCATGTTAATGAAATGTTATGGTGTATGTGTCATTCACTCTCACACACAGTCCGTGCCTGTAGCTCTCTTTCCCTTGTCCCCCTCCCTCCCCTCAAAAAAAAAAATTCAGATATTTCAGGCACTCCAGGTAGATGAGTCTTCTTTTTCATACTGTATTTAAGAGAGACTGCTGAATTGAAAAGCACAGTCACTGGTGTGTCTTGAATTGCCAGGGACTAATGTTAAGCTAGAAGTCAGCATCTACTAGATGCTATACTGCTTGTTGGTTCATTTGTCTGAAATGCTCATCTCTCCATTTGTTAATTTTATCGAATTTGCTTTCTGAGGAATGAGGCTGGGTGGTCTGTCTCCTCTTACTGGCACTGAGCCTGGCATATGGTATTGTAGAACAGCCCCAGAGAAGAGCTTGCTGTCTGGCCTGTGTTCCTTGGTTCCTGGACTCAGCATCCATTCCTCATTTTGCTTTTGTCTTTTTGTTCTTCTGAAACTTTCTCTACCCAAGACCTCTGCTGCCAGGTGATGTCTCTTTTGGGAGCATCCATTGCTGTGCGTTAGGAAAGGGGTCAATCCCAGTCCCTGTGAAGTGCACATTAAGCTTGTGCTTTGCGGATATGCTCGCGCTACATCTCCGATTTGGCTCTTGAGGTGTCTTCATTCCAGGGTCTGTTCTGGGTATTTATCTGCCATCAGCCTTGTGCTTCTAAAACACATCTGTCTTCTTACTGTTGGGACAGGTGCCATTTGAATTGCCTCCATGCTCCCTATTTACACCTACTTGGATCAAGTTGGGAGGCTGAGCAAACTCATATCCCAGCTTTTAAGGCTCTGTTTGCCTGCAGAAACAAGATTGGAATGTATTTTTTTTGAATGTTTGTACTGTAGAGAAGCCTAAGCCTCTCATGTTCAAATGTGTTGTTTTTCTACTGACCAAGAGGAAAGCTGGCAGCTCTTCTGAATGGGAATGGAAGAGGCTTCTCCCATAGTGGATGATCACAGCCTCGTAGCCCTTGTGCAGCCTGTGTCATGGAACTCAGTGACTCATGGATACAGCACCAGTCATGGCAGGAATATGTGGAACTGTGGCATTTGCAGAAACAGATTGCCCTAGTGCTACGTCCTTGCCTTTGGTTATAAATTGTAAATTATTTTCTCCTTTTTAGTGGCAATAAAAAACCCTTATTGGGCTTATTTAATTTGTATGTGTAAAATACTTTCTTTGGAAGAAAACTTAAGGCCCTGAATGTGTATGTGTGTGTGGGTGCTCTGTCCCCATGCTTGTCACAAGCAGTCAAACTGGATCATTGACACCCTGTACAATGCATTGCACAGGGAAGATTCATGATCTAGTGTTTTCTGCATGGATGCTGGGGATGTCTATCTTGTAAAAGAACACTTGTCACATGCTCGATCAGTCACAGTGATAGCTGAAGAAACATTTCTTCAAATGTATTATTTTAAACAGAATCATGTTCTGGTTTCCCATATTGAATGTTTAATTTTAATAAAAGCTAAACTGTGCAAACCTTTCTCAACATTTCATTTCTATAGCCCAGCTTCTCCACTGTGTCACAGACTAGAAGATGACAGACTTATTCCTGTGTTACTTCTTTTTTTTCTCTTTAAGGTCTGCTAGACAAGGTCTGGGTTCCTTTAGTCTCTGTCACCTGGCCCCAGCACAATGCTAGACCCACAAAGACTTTCTTCAGTGAGGCTCAGAGGACAGGGCAGTGGGGCAGAAGCTGGATGGTCATCAGGAATCTAGAGATGAGCAGGTGAGGGGAGGTAGAGGTGACTGGCTCTAGTGGGCATCACCAAGTGGGATGTGAACCTCTCATAAAGTAGGTCTGAGTGCAGGCTCAGTTGTGACCTCTCAAAACCTCCTGCTCAGCAAGCTAGATTTCCCTTTGCTTAACAGGCGACCAGGCCTTCCCAGTCCTCCAGGATATCAGTGGTTTTGGGCTGCACTGGATAGGGTCAAAGGAAAAGTGGGAACTTCTTGGCCAGAATCCTCACTGTATTTGGAGAGTAAATTTTGGTCTTCAGAGGGCACAGGCCACTGGCCTTCCTCAGCCCTTGGTTGGCACTCAGAATTACTCACAGATGCAAGAAGGAAGGAAGGCCTGCAGGTAGGCCTCAGTGGGTGGTGCTCTCCCTGGGTCTGCCTTGTCTCCCTCCCCTAGATTAGCTCTACCCTAGCTTCTTTTCTTTCCCCACCTCAAAGGTGAGTGGGAAGTAGAAGGCTGAGCTCCACCATGGCTCTCAGGGGGCAACAGTCAGGAGTTCTTGTCCTCCCCAGGATAGAGGAGGCAGACGAACCTGTTTATCTGAGGGTGTGTTGTGAGTGAGACAAAATGTCCTAGCTCTTTTTAAAAAATTTTTTTTTATTTTGAAAGTAGTAAAATACAGCAGAACAAGATGGAACAAAGCCAATTTAGACAGTGTAGTGAAATTGGTACAGAACTTCACAGCAGGTTACCAGGATAATAGTAATAGGTACCACAGTATATCTTGTTATCTTCACCATAGGTTGTCTTGTTATCTTTCAATCAGGTATAGCAAAATACAATGAAATACAGAACATTATAGAACTTATCAAAACAATATTGAATAGAGCAATACCATTAATCAGAATAAAGCAAGACAGTGGTAAAAATATTTGCCTTCAAAGAGATGGTAGAAGGAAATCCCCCTTATTTGCTATATTGTATGTGGTCAGCCCCCCAAGAGATGCCTAGATCTCTGGCTCCCATTTGCTAACAGGGGGAGGGGAAAGGTGGGATGTTTGATTCTCAGCCTGTGTGCTGGTAGGCTCACTATTGCTTAGCAGGGAGGCGAGCTGGTTGCTTGGTTTCCCAGCACCCTAAGTTCCAACATGGCCTGGATCTCAGGAGATGCTGGTGGTTCTCGCCCCTGGGATGGTCGAAGCTTGCCACACCACAGCTACTTACCAGGGGGGCGAGCTGGTTGCTTGGTTTCCCAGCACCCTAAGTTCCAACATGGCCTGGATCTCAGGAGATGCTGGTGGTTCTCGCCCCTGGGATGGTCGAAGCTTGCCACACCACAGCTACTTACCAGGGGGGCAAGCTGGTTGCTTGGTTTCTGTCCTAGCTTTTTTGACCCACATTTGAGTTTGAGAATCAGCCTGAGGAAAGGGCTCAGGCTGCTATATTCTTGTTAACCACAGTGGCTAGCGTTTTGTGTGTTATCTACCTTGTGCTGGGCCTGGGCTGAGCCCTTTAAATCCAGTTAATTTCCACACTTGGAGGAAGATGGCGTGTTACTGTGCCTGTTTCACAGCAGCATAGAGGTTATATAACAGACCCTTTAGAGACACAGGCCCCCTGCCAATGAGGTTGCTTGCAGAGCTGTGCCATGTTCAAATCCTGGGAGAGAGTGCTACTCTGGGTGCATTCTAGAGTAGGAAGTCACCCGTGTTGGGAGCTCAAAGGCTGCTCCAGGCTCCCAGAGTTGCCAAAGACCTGACTCCTTCCCCTGTGTGAGTCCTCTACTGGTCCAGAAGAGAAGGAGGCCTCGTTCATGGCTGTGACCCACAGGACTTCCTCTGCCCTCTCTGGTAACTCATCTGTAAAATGAGGGACCGTGTGTCCTTGGAGCACTTACTTGATTTGCCAGGCCCTTTCCTTGCTGGTATTTGACTGTCAAGGAGGTGAGAGAGCTCAGGCATGCTGAGGGAGCTGACGTATGAGCTCACATTTTCCATGGTAGTAATTTTTGATCACTGTTCAGTACACATTTTTAATCTCTCAGGTCCCTGGGCCCTGCCAATAGACATGTATGATGAAGATGTTTTGATGAATTCTCTGATTGTATTCTGGGTAAGGAATGGAAAAATTGGCTTAAATCCTTCCCTTCCCATTCCCAGTTCTGAGCTGCCTGTTGGAGAGATGCTATTATCTTTTCCAGGTTCTGTCATTCTTTCTCCTCAGCATGTTTGACACATACTTAATTATTGCTTCAATAAAAATATATTCAGTCCCTATTCTGTACTTTGTTCCAGGCACTCAACTGCCAACAGAGCAAGTAGGTGGCTGTTGGTATAGAAGTTAGAGTTTCCTAAGAGATATTGTTAGATAAATAAGCAGCTATCCTGTGGTGCGCTAGGGGGAAAAACTCATGCCCCTAGACAGAGCAGCAGGACAAACAGACAAACATGCACATGAGCCTGGGGGAAGGGGTATATGATTCATAGAACAAGAGAGACCAAGGCAGACATATAAAAAGAAACAGACACATCCCCACAAAGAGCCAACCAGATAAATTCTAAGTGTTTAGAAATACACAGGCAGAAGTAGGGGCCGGGGTGGGGAGGGAAGAGAGAGACAGGGAGAGAGACAGCTTTTAAAAAGACAAAGACAGGTCAGCATAGTGATTGAGATCAGAAGCTTTAGACTCAAGAGGCTCAAGTTCAAGCCTGAGTGCCTAGAAGATGATAACGTGGCTGTGAGCCTTAGTCTGTAGCTCCCAGGTGATTCAGATCCCAGGGGGAGGTGCAGTCTAGCTGGGGCAGCCTTTGGGATGAGAGGCAGAGTGCCTTTCCATGATGACAGGATGGTCAGCACTTTGGAGGCTCTGACTGCACGCAGGCCTGAGGTGTAGGAGAGTGTGGAGGGGAGGCACAACCTGGAAAGAGGACGACCTCACGATTCCAGGGGTTTGTCAACAGGGATACATGTAGGCTGTCATTTCTGAAGAAGGCCCATGTGAAGCCATGTGGAATGCTTGGTTTCACCTGGCAGCCCCTTGATTTCTGTATTTGGCACAACTGTGCTGCAATCTCTTTGTTTCTTCATTCCCTTTGAGTAGGGGTGAGTCTCATGAGTTCCTGAGAGTGAGATTATTACTTGCTCTTTGACTATTTACTGCAGGGCAAGTCACCTTGGTAAGTACACACATAACAGGTTATGTCACTAAGGAATTTTTAGTCTAGTTTCATTTGATTCTCACAGAAAACTTGAGGTTGCCAAAGAAGGCATAATTGTGAACACCATGTTTCTACCTGTTATATGCAATGGTTCCTTTTTTAATTCTGTAGGAGATTCATGCCAAACACTCAAGGTGCCTGGGCATAGTGGGTGATTTACTAGTGGTTGTGGTTAATATTCTTGCCACATCCTTTACACAAATGTAGACAAAAGCTCAAGAGTCAAGAAACTCTGCTTGCTCAAATTCCAGTCATGAAAGCTTGGACTCTTTCACTCAGGATTATGTTTATTTCCATGCACAGTGGGGCTCTAGGGTCTTAATCAGAGTGGAGTTATTTTTGCTCACACAACCACAAGGCCAAAGGCAGGATTCTAGGGCTGGCACAGCAGTTCCACGATACGTCATGTCCCTTCTTCCCTTCCATCTTCAGCATATTGCAAAATAGATGCTCCGGAGCTATTTTCTCACATACATCACTGGCATGAATAAGAAGTGGGTAGTGGAAGAGGCCATGGTTGTAAAAAGAAAGTAAAATCTTTCCAAAAATCCTGGTAGAGTAGTGCTGCGAACCCTGGAATTGCCCCGGCCTCAAGTGAGTTGGGATGAATGGGTGGTTTTAACTGGCTACATTGCTGCTTTCATTCAGCCTGGGAGAAAGAAAGGGAGACTGAATACTGGGTGAGCAGCTAGCAGTGTTGCCCGAAGTCTACACTCCTGTTAGCTTCCTGCCTCTGAGTGGAATGTGGGTTACTCTCTATTGGCAGGTTAGACTTTGCTAGCATTTTAATCCAAAAGTCTGTATCTTTTTGTTCCATCTTCTGGCATTTTCCCTGTGGGTCATTTTGGCAGAACACTGATTGGATGCTAGGCTTCTTGTGGGTGAGTAGTAATAATGTGTCCTGTGCTCCTGACATCTGCTGACAGGAGCAGAGTTGGGGTCCACAGCAGAGCTGGACAGGGAAAGCTTCTTAAAGCCATGCCCCAGCCACCTTTCTTGTTCTATGTGGCATCAAAAATGGTTGGTCCTCTTGCAGAATAAATGAGAAATCCTAAGGCAATGGAGACCTTTAGGAGCCCATTGCTGAGGCTGTTGTGACAGCTCATTTATCAGCAGTGGAGGTTTTCCTGAGGCACTGATTGAGAGGACCTGTCAGCTGCAAGATCTATGACCTTTATCTCAAGAATGACCCGTCTGTTCAGTACCATAAATCTTTCTGAGCCACAAACTGGTAGGTGGAGTTGGGTAAGATTTGGTGTAAGCTTCTTGAATGCAATTTCCCCAATTCCCTTGTCTTCATATCCTTCAGGATAGCTTTACGTTTAATGGTATCCCATCAAGGAGTATCCCAGTTGAACTAAACTAAAGGAGGTTACAAAAATGATGTGACAGCCTGGCTGCCAATGGGCTGTCCCACTTTGTTCTCACAGGCATGGCTCTGACTCCAGCCTTGGCATGGAATGGAGTGGGAGGAATAATGAGCTGGAGGGGCTTCAGTCTTGCCCTACCCCTTAAAAGGAGGACAGGGGTAGCAGTGTGGAGACAGTGAAGTGAAAATCAAAAGATCTGGTCTCAAAGTA